GTACCTTCTAGATGAATGTACAGCAATTACATCAAAAAATACAAAGGAAGAATAGATGACAGTATAATAAGAGTAACATTAGACACTCCGTGTATAAAAGGTTCGAGGTTGGACTGAACATTTTCTGAGGTTACGGGGTCAGTAAATGCTCTCTCAAGCACACAAAATCTGTTTTTCATAAAGCACTGCCTCATGAGGCAAACGTTCCCAAACAAGGCACTTACAGCGCCTATCCAGGTACTAATTTTCAAAATAATCTTTGAGACTTAGAGCCTCTTCAGATCTGGTCAAATAAAATGATAGGTTCAAAAGTTATTAAAGAGCAGGGAATGCATAAATTTTGCTTCAAAATGAAGTCATGCTCATAAGTGTCTAAACTGAACATCTATCAAATCTACTTACGTGGTAGGAATATGGTTCACCTTCTTCCATAGGCTCATCTGCCATTTTAAGGCCATTTAGCTGGAAAGGGGAAGGAAGGGGAATGCAGAAGAAAAAAAAAACAAAACAAAACCAACATTAAGATCTAAATTTCAAATAAGCAGAGTTCATAATTTGACCAATTTACATTTCAGAGCATAAAAATGAAAACTGGTGTTCTTGATGCTCTAATTTCAAACTGTAGTTTCAAACAAATACTACTACTTAGTAGTTATATTTAGCATCTCCCTTGTGTATCATTTAGTATATCCCTTTGTAAATGTCATTCCATAGTGTTATTTAATTGGAATTAATTTAAAACTCCTTCTTTAAGAGCTACAGATACCATCCATAGAAGATGACACTAACATAAAATTCTTCTGTTACACACAAAATTTATGTTGCGGATGCTTTTCAGAAACCTAAAATCCTAAAATCTGCTGCTGAAAGTTAATTTGCAGTTTAAGGAAGAAAAATTCAAAAGTGCTTTCAAGTCTTTTGGGGGCAAGAGGGAAAAGTGCAAGAGCAGGTAGAACAGAGAATATATACCACAGAATTCTTATGTACAAAAATAATTATATATTTTCTTTAAAAAAAAATCAGATTCCTCTAAAAATTTACTTGTATCAAAAGTTATTTAAATAACCTAGCAAATAGAATACTCAAATTTTAATGAAGTACTTTAGAAACTGTAGATCTGTATATTAATAAATATTTGTGGATCAATTTCAAAAATAACACCTTCAAGATGCAGAAAAGCATGATATGGATTTGCACAGAAGCAAGTAAGTGGCATGCTCTTAAATGAGCACAATACTTGCTAGCAATTGCCTACCCCCCCGCCTCAAAGAACAGTAAAAAGATGATACCAAGTCCACAGCCGCAGTAAAATAAAAGTTTAAAAGTTATTTAGTTTAAACTCTCCCTAGGTAACAAATAATTCAATGCTGCTTACCAACTGAAACTAAAAAAATACAGAAACATAAAGGACATGCTCTGTTTAAACATGCAAAGCATTAATTAAAAACCAGAAATACCTGACAAAATGGGTGAAGCCAATTATGGATTTGCTAGTGATAATTGCTAATTTATTTATATGTTAATTGTTCAGCATCACGACCTTCATGTAGCATAGATCTCACACAAGAAAATACTAACTAGAAATAACAAGGAAATTCAAACTACTTTTTTCCTGAAAACAGAAGTTGAACCAATTAAGTTCTTAGACCAGGTAATGACATTTTTTCTTGAACTTCTGAATTGGTCTAAAATACATGCCTAAGATACTGATAATCATACCACATTTCAGTATGTGAATTGGTAAACCCCAGGACTACAAAGAATCTTAAAACACCATATAGACCATGCCCCTGTTTAAAAACCAAACAGAAAACTCGACAAACGGGTAGGGCTGAAAGGACAGGTTCATACCACCACGACTGCATCATCGAAGCAAACCCTCAACCACTTCCACTGCTGCTTCTAGGACTCTCTGATTTCAAGCACAGCTTTCAAGAGCTAAGTCCTAAATTAATGGCTTTGATAAAGTTACACTTCCAATTTTTGTATCAAGATACTGGAACTTATTTTTGGACTACATCCTCACTAAAAAAAAAAGTCAAAGAAAGTAGCATGAGTCTTTGGTTACTTTCAGTCTTCTCTAAGTTTCTATTTGTTTTAACCACAGTTTACACACATACTCTTCACATTAACTATAATCTCTCAGTTTACCCAAGCACTGGCATATTCAACACATGTTCATCATTCACATCTATCATGCATTGCCACCCTAATTTCTCAAGGACAAAACTCACTAGCCTGTTACCCTGGATTCAGAAACCTCACAGATGCTACACAAATCAATGCTACTAACTAATTTTCTACGTAACTTATTTCTTTTTTGCATAAATATTTTTTTCCAAATTAGATACTGGGAAGGATGAGACACTCGTTATGCTTGTTAATGTGTGAATTAATTGAATGCATCAAGAAATAATATCAAAGTTCAGACCAGATAGGAACTCCAACCTCATTTCAGATGATTCACCGCCATGTAACTTCTTTTCATGATATCACTACATTACATTCAAGCATGAATCAATGTAAGGCCCAGCAAAGTTGTCCAAAAAAGTGGATCTACTAATAAAATGGGTTTCCACTCCAGGTGTTCAGAAATACGATACAATTCTTCACTCATGGACTTTAATGTGAAGTGAACTCAGTGTGCATTTTGCTTTTTCTTTCTTTAAAAGAGGGTCAACATCTTCCAAATTTTGTTACTTAAAAGTTAAGCTCTGGAAGCAATATTACCAGCCAGAAGTAGTGTACATACACTGAAAACAGTAGCTTAACTCCAGGCAATCAGATACAGAAAGCTGTCACTGCTGGAATGGGGTTTTGAACTAAAAATCAGCATGTTATTTGATCTGCATAGTTCCTGAGCACGCCATGTAAGCATACTTTCAGCTTTCTGGCAAATCAAATATAGTAAGTTATTGGATTTTTATGGCAGGTAATCAAATGTCATCTTAATTAACAATTTCCTATCGTACACTTTTCCCCTTCATTATGGTTCATGGGGGTTTTTTCCTGTCCAGTCTCTCTGTAACTACAAAGACTGGGATGCCTGCCAATTTTTAGTCCAAAGAATTTTATGTTCAAGTGCATGAATCTACTTTTATTGCCTGATATACAGGACTACTCTTCTGCCTTATTTGTTTGTGAGCCTGGTCACCATCATACACGCAACTAACAGAAGGAACCAGGAGTGTCACCATTAAAAAAACAACAACACCACCACAAACCAAATGACAACAAGCCTGTTGGATTGTAACCCAAAGTCTAGTAGTTTGTCAGTTATTCAGTTAAAAAAAGTCAATGACAAAAATCAAATCATTACTGTTCTGTACAATTACATATACTGGCCAAGATTCAGTAAGTAGAAGCTCCCACTGTCCCCCATATTAGGCAAAAAAAAAAGTTACAATTAATAATTAATTCCCACCTCTATGGAAACCAAATACAAAATTCTGCTTCCGCAGCCAAGTGGGACCCCTTTCAGTGATTTAATCATGAATATTTATGCACAAGCATATATAGAACATAACTATTTTAACCTCTCCGTCATTACTTACTAAATACCTATGAAAGCACAAATTTAATTTATTATTGAGAATTAGAAAGCACATCTCTCTATAAAGAGAACAGGCGAGTACCATTGTTCTGAAGGAGATCCTTTCATCCTTGAATCATTTTGCTGTTCAGTACCGCTAAAGTCCTACTCCTAACTGAGCATTTTAAATATTAACTTCTGTTAAAACACAAACTAAACTCAGACATTTAGGCAAACAGTGTCAATACTTTCCAAATACAAATTTTGAAAATTACAGAAAGTACTCCACATTGTTGATTAGTATAAAAATAACCAAAACAACTACATAAGAAAACGAGAACAAAGTCAGACAAACTGGCAGGCGAGAAGCTTACTTTTCCCGAGGTGCAAGCTAAGAGACCCAATCCTCCAACGCCTCCGAGGTAACGCAGCACAATCTGCCTTCTGATTTAAAGAGCTGCGATGGATCGCATGACTCGCTGGGACTGTACCCTGTTACCCTGGGAGAATATCCAAAGGCTTTCGTGGGCTGGTAGAAGGCTTAAGTATTATTGCACATGTTTTCCCTCCAGTAATTACAGCAGAACAGAGGAATCCCAATATTACCAAAGATTTGAACCATCTTCCCTCCAATATTAAGGATGTTTTAACTGCTTACATGGTAAATGCATTACGGTTTGGTGGGTCTATAGGTTTTGGCCAAAAGAAGCTACACAAATGGTCAGCAAGAACGCCTAACTACAAGGACAAACAGTAGAAGATGTAAAGTTGGTTCATTCTGCCCTGTTTTTACATGTCTTCATTTAGGCATTCAAACAGAATTAAAAAATCTACAGAAAACACAGAACTGGGAATTTTATAATCATAACATTGTTAGAAATAGAAATCATTATTCATCACCACTCATGTATAATCCAGTCTGGCTTCAAACAGGTAAAATTCTACATAAGGATCAACAAAAGCTTCTGCATCCTCCATGGTTCCACCTTCCCTGTGCTTAATTTGCTAAGGACCTACACCTCTCAGTTCTTCCAAAGGAACATAAGACTAACCAGTTTGCTCCCCCACATACAAAAGTATTACTTCAAATACTTATTTCAAAATGTTAGAGTAGAAGCTTACATTAGAAACCCCAATTATTTCGAAAAGACTTTGAAAAAAAATCCTTTGAAAAAAATCCTGTTAAGACAACCACATTTGTTCCTCATTTATTTTGAATTACATCTGCAGAGAGTTTGCATCATTAATTTAATTAGCAACACATTGGCCTACTGAATCTTATTTCCTGAGAAAGGTTTGAGAAATTTGGGGGTTCTGTGCACAGCCAAACAGGTGAGGGCTTTGTTTTTTTTTTTTTAAAAAAAATATCTCTAAAAGTCACTGTGAACAAAACTGAAGCTTAAAGGCACCTGTTCTCCCTATAAAACATCCACAACTTTTTCTCCATGCAACAGTCTTTCTCTTTTTTTCAAAAAAAGTAGATATTGTTACTGGGTGCAGGTGCCCAAGCTGGATTCAGTGCTCTTTACTGCCTGGGTTCGCATGCTTTTGGGAAGGAACAAGTTCCCCCAGTACAGCAGCCAAGCTCACAAAGTGGCAGATGAAGCAGTGTTATTTGGGTTACCCGACACGGAGTGACACCAGCTAAAGCCGAGTCCCACCCTGCCACGCTACGACCAGAAGAAGGATGTCCCGCCGACGGCAGTGCCCACGTGAGACTCCGCAGATCTACGCTGCATTTTCTTCCCATCCGCTCATTACCTGCACAAACCCTGCGCCAGCCTCAGTCCCTCACGCCCTCTCACAAAAGGAAGAGGCCAGGTAACTCACACTCTCTTCAAACACACCAAGTGAAAAAGAAATATAGAGCCACCTACCTTAAAAAAAAAAAAATTTCAAAAAAAAAACAAAAACCCAACACACACCAA